TCTTACTTTTTAAACAAAAAAAAAAAAAAAAAATAATATATTCATTGATTGTTTTAAAGGCAACTTGCACTTTAATAGAGCTTCTAAATGTATGTATTCTGTATGGATGACACATTTACCCGTGTTTATAAATAATAAGCCGAGTAGACGAGGATTTGATTGTTTATGTAGGATGTAACAGTGCGTACAAGCCATTGGGTTAGGCAGGTCAGGGCAGGAAACTGATGTTTTGTTTAGCGCTTGTCGTGCCATCGAATACTGTTTGTATTTGGTATTTTGCACTAACCGTTAAGAACTGCTGGGTGTTGGGCACACATGTGGTTTCTTTCTGTTACTTCCACACCTTGTTTATTTCCTCAAAACACGCACGTTATATCTCATCACGTAGGCCAAATGCAAACATTATGCGATTCTCATGTTTATAAACAAAATGTATCAAAATGTTCGCAGCTACCGATAGTGGCTAGCAAAAGAACTGCGTGACGAGTCGCATATGGTACGCTGGTTTGTGCCTCATCTTTACCGTACAGGCCAACTAATTTTTCGTGACAAAGGTCTTATTAGTATAGTAACAGGAAGTCAAGTACTTTAAGTACAATGTCAAGCATTATTTTGGCATGCTTCCAACTCTCAACCATTGATTACTAGTTCACTATGCCAAAAAAATACACCTTGTTAGGGAACAAAATCACCTACAATTTGATCTTTTAAACATTCTTCATGCTTTTAAAATTGTGTTGACATAGACAGGTATATGTACGAGGGGGCGTTTTTAAGTTTCGCGGAATGGGAGTTGGGGTAAGAAGTGGAAATAAAAGTACGAATTTATGTTTCCTTTTCAATACATTCACCTGCTACCCTTATACATCCAATAACTTGCACATACCTGTGAATAATACGCCGAAATTGCACCCTTCATTTCTTCGTCGCTAGAAAATTTCTTCCCACGAATACTTTTTTCAAGTTTGGTAATAGGTAATAATCGCTGGGAGATAGATCAGGACTGTAGGGTGGGTGAGCCAAAATTTCGAAGCCCACCTTCTGCAAGGCAGCAATCATAGCACGGCTCTTGTAAACAGGCCCATTGTTGTGCAGAAGGACACCATTGGTCAATTTTCCTCTTCTTTTTTCGTTGATTACTTCCTTCAACCTTTCTAGGTTTAAAGCATAGTATTCTCCGGTTATGACACCTTTATCTTTATAATCGATCAACATGATTCCTTCTGAGTACTAGAAGACTGTCGCCTCAATTTTCCCAGCAGATTGTGACACCTTAAACTTCTTGGGTAGTGGTGTATCTATTTTGTGCCACTGCATAGAGTCCTATTTGGACTCAGGTTCATAATGATGATGATTCGCACCCAGTAACAATACTCGATCTTTATCTTCACTACAGGGGTCTAAAAACGCGCGAGAAAACTCCACACGCTGTTGTTTTTGAGATAGAGTGAACATTTTCGACACCCATCTTGCGCTGACTTTAGTTATGCCAAGATGATCGTGAAAATGGTTCTATCTCATACTCGTACCGTTTCTGCGGGCTGTTTCTTCTTAAATCGGCTATCTTCCAATATTAATTTTTCGATTTTTTGAATGATTTCCGAAGTGGTCACCTCAATCGGTTATTCTGGTCGTGGGTCGTCTTCAAGTTAGTCCCCGCCTTGCTTAAACAGGGTATAGCACTTGTAAACCATGGTTTAACCTTTTTAAACGGATGACATCTCTTCCGGTATGGTTTGAACTGATTTTCCTTGCTTGGTATGGAACATTATAACAGCGCAGTATTCGATATTCTCTATATTTCACAATTTGTTCAAAGACTACTAACCTAATTACGATAAAACTTGGTATTTATATTAATAATGAGTTGCTTAATTCGTAACGACTTGAGTAAGTACTGACTACCGAATGTATCTCATTTTTTTATTTATCCATAATAAAAAACAAATTATTTCTTTTCAGACGAATGTTCCCTGCTCTCCGGGCCCAAGCGTATGGTCTTGATCCAAATGCTCACTATTGTGTTCTTTTGGAATTTTCATCGGCTAGTTCTTGCCGGTACAAATATTCCGCTTCTGGCGGATGGACTGCTGCTGGTGCAGAAGAAGCTCATTCTCCTCAGAGAATTTACCTTCATCCAGAATCTCCAGCCACTGGGGAACATTGGATGGCGCAACCGATTTCCTTTGGAAGGTTAGTCACAGTGAATATCAATTATTTATTCTAATAATTTGTAATTAAACCCTGCTTAATAAATGATTAGGTAATTCATTCCAGTCATAGTTCTTATGGTAATTTCGAAATCATTGATTAGGCGAAGGAATGGGCCATTAAAGTATTAGGGGTAATATGAGGGTCGAGGGGTGTGGATTATATCAGCAATATTTGTTTATTTATTTATTTACTATTTCCGATTTTTCTTGAAAATTCAATAGATTATGAGGTAGTCCTACTTGTCTATGTTCGAAAGCGAAAAGCTTGTTCAGGAATTCCCCAAAATAATTGATATTGCTCACTTGCTCTCATGCGATGTTTTATGGTTAAGTTAGAAAGAACCACAGTAGGAAAATTAAATTCCTTTATGGTCTATAAATAAAAAAAACCTGTACAAAATTTAAAATAAATTTTCATAAGCATTGTAGAGGGTAGAATTTTATTTACTTTTGCTGGCAAGGGGGAGAGAAGGGATAAAGGTTAATAAAACTCTACTTAACGTAATATATTAATGACCCCTAACCCACTTTGACTATTCTAAAATTGAATTGAGTACTTTTTACAAAACAAATCTGCCCTAATACATGTAAAAGACTAAATCTCACAGATATTTTTTTTGAGGTAGGAAATGCACGTGGTATATCTTAGTTTTTGGACACACTAATTATTCCTTAGTAACGAATTCTTTAAAAAAAAAATTTAATGGGCCAAAAACAGTTCTCCCAGCCCAGCACCTTTAGGTTAATCTAACAACCAAAGATCTTTTCTCATTTTATAAATTTTTTTTATTTCCAAGGGGGCAAACATTAATTAAAATAAATATTTGCAGACTGAAGCTGACCAATACACCAAATCCTCCGCCTGGGCACATTGTTTTGTCCTCCATGCACAAGTACCAACCACGTATAATCATTGTACAAACCATGGATCCCAGAACTGTCGGCTGGGCTCCATCAATTTCAACTGTATTCCCAGAAACAGAATTCATCGCTGTGACTGCATATCAAGTAAGTTATTTTATTATGATAACTGTTTTTTATTGATACAAGCTTTGAAAGTATTCACACGGTTATAACAATGGTTTTATTAAACATATTTTAATCATGATTCAATCAATGTTTAGAAAGTAAGATAAACAGCAAATGTTGCGCGCGCATCATGCGACGGAAGTTACGCTCAACTGTCAACAGTACCTGTCAATGCAAATCGAAAGGATTGGTTAAATAAATCATGATTATTGTAACTTACTTACTAATTATTAAAAAAAAGATGGTAAATCATTAAATTGGGGCTCCAGGTAAAAGTCACCCCAAATAATTTTTTTAGTTATTGTTTCTTGAGGTAGAACTGGGTGTTTGAAGGCCTTAAAGGTACTGTTGGAGCATTCTATCAATAGGTGCCTAAAAATTAAAATCTCGTTGCCATTATACAAAAAAAAACAATTTAGGTTAGACTAGGTTTTTTCTACTTCAACCCTAAAGGCAATGTAGGCAAGTAAAAAATGTTGATGAGTGATTTTTGTCTGGAGCTCCAAGTCAGCCTGTCTCGAAACCAGAGCTTCCTCTGATAAAGTTGTGCTTTGATATAAAAATGGAAGCTTGTATTGATTAAAATTTTATTTTATTTGCGGTGGATATGCAATAATGTCATTATCGATAAAAAGGAAAAGACAAAAGAATATTTAAGACCATTGTAAGTGTAAAAGGTTAGAAATGAGGAGTATTAGAAGTAGTAAAAGAATAGAGGTTATGTGGAAATCATTAAAAAAATAGCGCGATAGATTGGTAGGACGTGAAGAAAGAAAGTAGAGGTGTGTGTTCAATCAGGCTTGACTAACTAGCTTTCGGTGATGGATACATGCGCAGTGCCTTATTGCGCTGTGGACGACCGAACGCAACTTATTGACACTCTTACGGCACGTGCTGTACATTTTATTTTATTTTTGTTCAACTTTTACGGTATTTCCCATCATGTGGAAATTATTATTTTTCCAAACTTGTCTCTACATATAGAAATTAAAAAGTGATTGGACCATTTAGTTTTATATGTAAATATAATTTACAGCGGTAATTTATAACAAATATAGGAATTGTTGACTTTTCGAAACACAAAAGCTAACAATAAATAATCGTCAACTAAAGAAGGTGTCAGCAAGGCAACGTCATAAATACTGTAGGTACCTGTACTCCAATTTCTTGTATTTATTCCATGCCATCCTCGTAAAATCTACTTATCCTAATCGGTCATATTTAATAGCGGCAATAACAAAAGTCATCTAATTCAATAAGTAGCTGTTGTAAATTTCATTTCCGAAAGAAGAAAAAAACATCACAAACGTGTGACTCAGGCCGACAACAATTTATGGTCCTCGTAGCCAGCCGTCGTCGTCTCCGTAGGAGACGGGGACCATGGGGAAGGCGAGATGCAATATGTCACTCTCACAACTTTACTGCGGGTGCCTTAAAATCCGCAAGCAAGCAATTACGTCGTGTTTTTCGGGTGCCGAATTGCCTGGCGCCTCTTTATAAAAGAATCCAGAAGGCCGATGGGCTATCTGGTTTCCGAGACACGGAACTAATTGTATATTAACGAAAAATAAAAGCACGGACGAGTTGATGTTTGTTCCGTTAATAAGTGGCATTTTCGATAGGTAGTGCGCGCCACCGGTATCAGCCGACAGCGACAGGGCGTTAAAGGATGTTTTACATAATCTATAATCACTTGTAATGGCACGCTAAAAGTATAGAAAATGTAGTAATTTACAAACTATAATGCGGTCCATATGTATGAAATGAATTCATTTTAAGGGTATTTTTAAACATTTATAGAAGGCACGTTCACTCCATCTGAATTATGACAGTAACAATTGGAGGGGGGGGGGGGTAAAGTCAAGATACCCTGTACCTATATTGTATGAAATATATCAAAAGGGTTTCAGCTGCAGCAATTTTTTATTCCAATTTAATTGTTTGAAATCAGACAACATAAAATAT